CTACCACACTCCTTGCAGCAGTTGGAGGCATATTCCAAGCCCACTGAAGTCTCTGGGAGTCCTTATTGAATTATCTGGGCTATGAATTTGGGTCCTGATCTGGATGATACAATGAGAAATTTTATGAATACGGTCTCTGAAGATTTCCCAGAAATATTGGTGATCCTTGGTGGCATGAACCTGCTTTAACAGCTCCTTAGTTACTGTCACATCCAGCTCCTTGGAAGAAAGGCCACTTCTAGGAGTGTAAGACATGAGTGGGATACTTCTAAATATACACCTTCATGATGGTTTAGTCATGGATGATCCTACCTTAAGGAATAGAAGACCTCATGGGGTCCCTTTCAGCTCTACCTTCATATGATCCTATGCTGTGAGTCTGCTAGCCAGTATCTTACAAAATATGAGGTGTCCACTATAAAGTGGGCATTAGGAAGTCCTCAATGGCCTCTTGGCAGCACCTGCAGTATCCTGAACTGTACTGAAAACAAGTCTGGCAGGGCCATGATTAATGAGTCTTGTTAGACTGGCAAGAATATGTAACTTTCCTTCACTATTAAAAGTGAGCTTGCACCATGTTACTTCTTCTTGGAGACCCATCTGGTGAATGGTATCAGTATGTCAATCAAGGCAGAAGGAAGGGGTTGGAAATAGTGCTGTATATAATATGCGCTCTAACACAACAGTGGGATATTTTACTTAAAGCTCTTGTCAGAGACCTAGTCTAGGGAAAATGAATTGGAGATAAAGACGTAAAATTATGGAGTCTGATAAATTCCTACGCTAGTCACTTTTGCACTATGATGGCACCTAAAAACTGTACGTGAAATTGGGGCCCCACTGAACTTGATGCTGTACACATTGTTGGCTTATGGTCCAGCAAGCTTGGTAGTTGACTGAGGAGGACATGCTCCTACAAGTATACATACATTTTACATAACTTCCCTGTTATTGAAACCTCCATTGAATGAAATGGTGGCAGTGTACCTGCTAGGGTTGACTATTTCTTGAGAGGTGGAAGGGGAATTAGCTGGATAAAAAGAGAAGAAACCCCAGTTTCTCTCTGTCGGTCCTGGCATTGCCTCCTTTGTTCCTGTCGCAGAGCTGCCCTGCTTGAACTGGGTTAACTCAGCTGGCTGCGCTTAAGATTATTTGATTTTATTGCACAGCAAAATGCTTTTGAAAAGCTCAGCTATTATCCCCAAAATAGCAAAATCAAAACCCAAAATGTGCCTTTGAAGTGAGCTACCCAAATGAAACCTGTGACATCAGAGAGATGGCAGATAGTCAGCTGAACAAGGCTGCCTTTGAGCTGGCCTTGGGGCGGGCCAACACACACTTTACACCCCACCACCATAAGTCAGAGATGAAAGATGCCCCAGGCAGCCTGCCTGACCCCATTGCCTCTGCTATCCCTATTTGATTGCACAGTGTTTTGCTCAGAACAATCCTTCACTGTCTGCCCCACGCAGGTGAATCTCCTAGCTTGGCCTGTGCTTGGGAATGCCATGCATAGCAGGAACGCTTTGTTGAGGTCTCTTGCCCGCTTGAAGTTAGTTGCTTATGCCTCACATTGTTCTGCACCACAGAAGACAGTGATTTGTGCATGTGAAAAAAGTACCATATTTACTTGAGTATTAGACAACACTGAATATAAGCTGACCCCCTAATATTTACAGTCTATAAATGGAAAATTTATAAATTTGTTATAATTTTCCAGGTATAGAATCTAATTATTGGAGGGTTGCCTTGGACTTGTCCCACTCCTGCTGCTACAGCAGGGAAAATAAATCTGGGGGGCAGGTTCCCCCCATGCCTTCTGACCCCCCAACTTCCTTCCCTTGCAGCTCCTTCTCCCCTGCCCTCCCCTTACTGTCAGACCCTGATCTCCCTGAGCACATGGGAGTGAGGAGCAAATTTGAAAATGCTGACTGAAAGAAACATGTCTGTAGTAATCTGTATGTAAGCAAATTACTATGGGTACTCATAGATGTAGTTCATCCAGAACGGGTACATTTTACCTTTACTGAAACTTCTGCAAGTTTTATTACAGTTACTCCATAAACGCACTTTTAAGCAGCACTTTTGTACCTGCTTACAGTGCAAACTATGCATTATATTAATCTAAAACCAAAAAGCTCATGATTCACCATATAGTTCATTGGGCTGGGCCCCATCAGAGTCAACAGCATTTCAAGCCATAATGACCCCATAACTCAGCACTGTTCAGTATGTGCGTGTACTCCAGGTACCCCTCCTCCCCCAAAAGGATCCATGTGCAAATTAGCACCCCACTCGTGATTGGCACTTGGTGTTTTTGTCACTAGCCTTGGGATCCTCCAACATTGTATATGCAAATGAGGTGCTGGGCAACCTGGTCCAGCTCCACCTCATGGTGGGGGAGAGGGAGAATCTTAATCATGCTAATCATATGTGAGTTTGCTCATTCCTTTCTGGGGGAGCAACTGCTTGTTAGTTTGGGGTTGTTTTTTTTTAAAAAGCCCCACCCACCACATTCATGCACACAAAGGTTCCCATCGATATGTCTGTCCAATATGGGCCATGTGTTTTATAGTCATGCTTGGTGTTAGCTGCATTTAATCAACTTCATAGATGGTTTCCATTACTGAGCACATGCTGCTTTTGGCTGCAGTTTAGATAGACAGGCTGCAGTTTAGATAGACAGTGTATTTAATTAGGTTTCCTTTATGCAAATGCAAGGTGAGGAGCTTTTTCCCCCCATGCTAAGTTGGGGAAACAAACCTTGTCTTTTATTCAAGCAAACAGGGTATATTGATAATCATATAGACAGGAGTGGAAGAAGAGAAATGCATAGGCAAAGATGATGGCAGGCAGAAAAGACTAGTAGAAAGAGATGGTGAGTTAGTCTCTTCAGGTGCCTATATATGTGCCTATATATAGGCACATATAGTCATATATATACATATAAAAGACTATATGTGTGTCTCTCTGACGTGCTAATTGGCACATGTTGGGATGGACTTGATTAATTGAGTCTGCTGAAGTGTGTTAATTGGCATGCTCCAGCATCCTCCATGTCATGTGCATTCTGCATCCCCACACTTTAAAATGGAGGTAGGGGTGCTTGAACTAATGTTCACTGAATGAGCGTTAGTTCAAGTGCCCCACCACCATTTTGAAGTGTGGGATGCTGAGTATACATGATGTCATGGGCGCTTTAATTAGAGCGGCTCTTGAAGCTGCTGTAATTAAATCACCCTCCCCACCACCGGAGCATGTCTATAGATGCCCTTCCTGTCTCTTCTACAAGTACCTCCCAAGTTGAGAGAACTAGGTTGGGAGCAGCTGTTCTGTATGACATGCTTCCTTCTGAGCTCATTCCATTGGAGGTCTGAGCTGGGGAGGCTACAGGCCTGGTACGTCCTTGGGGTTGAGTCCTTCATGCTGTTAGCAAGAAGTAGGTCCCAGGAAGCAACAGAGAGAGGTCTTCAATGACAGCCCTTTATTTCCACATCTGTCTCTCTACATCTACATGTCCTGAGAACTGTAGCCTCAGAGGCCTGGTCACATAGGCAGAGAGGAGAATTGAACCTAAATCTCCTGGGAGTAAATTCAGAAATTTGCCAAGAGACTCAAGAGTCAAAGATCTGCAGACCATCAGGGGTTGTTATGTAATCTAATGTGACCTCCTGAGCCCAATAACTTGTGTTTTGACTAAAGTGGATCTTGTGGAAAAAAAACAATTACTCTGGATCTGAAACTTCATGCATTTTTCTGTGGAATCTCTGACCCCCTTCCCTGCTAGCTTTTCACAAATTCCAGAACTGTGAGGTGTGTATTGAGAGTTGGGGAAGGAAGAAAACACACTTTGAAGCATCTCTGACTGGGGAGTGTGTCCTTTGGATTAAAGTGATAGTCCTTTTGACTATAGCCCTTGTCTGTATTGTTTGGGCTATGAAGATTAATGTCTATAGAAGGGTTTTTAAAACATAAATCATCTTTGTGTCATTATTATTACATACCAGGATCGGTTCTGGAATCAAACACCCCTTACTTTGAAGAAAGATCAAATCTGGACTCCAAAATTTGGAGTTCCAAATGGAAGGGAATGGGGATGGCAAAATTTTCATAGCCCTTAGGGGGAACTGGATTAGATCTGCTGTGGCTCAGGCCTATCCCTGATTAACATCAAGCACAATATATACCAATGGGATGGATGTGTGTCTCCCATGTTTCCATTTAACCAATACTTCTCATGTCCTTATGTGGCCCCATTGGTGTTTGAAAATGTTCTAAGAAGCATTTTCATTTCCATATCTCTCATCTCCAGTCTCTGTACTGGACAAATGTCTATTACCTAGTTTTCTGCAATAGTAGAGGGCTGGGCTTGACTCAGCTGGTCTCTTCTAGGCCTGTGTTCTCAGTCCTTCTCATCTATTGTTTTGGAATATATTTCTGCTACCCATTATCTGATTGAAAAATTAATCCCCCTTCTAGCAACATCAAACAGTATCTGACTGTTGAAGGCTGGGAGGTCATCACCAGGGGATTGTGTTTTCCTGGAGAACTAAATGGCAGAAACAGCTGAGTCCATAATGCAAGCATCTGCATTATGGGAGGCAGTAGGCCCCAAAGGAAAACACAGCTGGGTTCATCTTGTATTACAGTATATGTTTAAATAGTCAATTCACATTTGATGTATGGAACAAGCCAGATCAGAATCCTGGTCGGAATAGCAATGCAGACTATCCTACTTACATGAAAGGTGCTTTAGGATATGGTCTGAACACAGGTAGTCAGGATATCTTCATCTCACACAAAAGGCACTGCCACCCAAGGCATTGCCGTAACTACTGTAGGAATGGACACAACCCTTGCTCACTTTCCATTCCCAGTAGATCATCAAGCGATAAAGATCTGACTCTGTATGCTACAAACAGCAATGGTTCAAGTAACTCTTAATGACCAGAGCAGGATTGGAGCAGCTTCAACAGGACTTACTTTGTCTTTCCTGAACAAAGATGAGCAGAGCCAGGGCTGGAATTGGTGAGTGTTTAATTATTCCATCCCTTGTAAAGTGAACACACAACTTCACAGATTACAGAATGATGAAAAATTAGAGGTATCACCCTTCCTATAGAAAAAGTTTGTTAGGAAGGCCTTAGTAGGGTGAAAACTTCATAGAAGTTTTCCAGGAGACTGTAATTCCATGAGTTGTTCCAGAATGGTGGATGGGGGTAGGAGTTTATCCCTTGCTTCACCCTTGGGGAATGCCTTAGTAGTTCAAGTTCTTTGCACCTAAAGCAAGTGGTGCTGATGTTAGATGGACCTTAGGTATGTTCCTGTGTAGGAAGTCCTATATCTTTTTAGAACCACACACTCATGGAGATATTTGAACTGCTGACATCAGACAAAAACATCTGATGGTCTTTTGGGTGACATTTCATGGACCTTTCTTTCAATTCCAACTTTCCCCATATTCATCTGCCCTTGTGTGAATTTGCACTGAGTGAGAATCTTGAATTCATTCATGTGGAAATTGTCAGAAAGTCAGTCATGCTATTTTATTTTATTTAATAATTAAAATGACAGTTAGTTACTCAAATACATGAACAAAGGGTGTTCTGTGATGTTAATACTACCCTAGGAATTATACATGCACATTCAGAGTGATGAGGAAAAAGATCCAGGGCTGAATATTACTGCTCAAACCCATTTCTGCAATGCTTTGCTCACTCGGATGCATTGAAGTCCTATCTGGGTGCAGCTATATGAGATGCTATGTCACTGTAGTGTAGCTCATTGCTCCAGCAATGTAGCATCAGTGGGCACAAACCGTGATGCCGACGCTACTGTGCAGTAGTGTGGGGGAAAAAAACCCGTACAGTTTCAGAACTGCACGGTAACATGAGTTATAACTACATGGTCTAGGGCACATGCAGATGTGCCCTCTGTAAACTTAAGGCTTGCTTCAAGTCTTTACAGAATTGAGCCTTTACTCACAGAATTCAGATTTAGAACGGACTTCCTAATCCTTTTTCATGCAAATAGGCAAGATACCCATCTGTAATTTGCTTTCGATGAATTTGTTGAATAGTTTGATTAGAGAAAAAAAGGCGGGGGGGAATCACTAAAAACCAGCAAAGGAGAATTTAGGAAGATTAGTGCTACTTCTCAATTTTTCCTTTTCTTTTTTTTTAAATGAGCCAATGATTTTTTTTAATTTTTTTTTTTTTAAGATGAGCTAACATGTAATCAGAATGGCAAGACCAGAGGGGGAATAATTTGTGCTGTTTATGTTAACAATGTCCTAACTCTAGTAAGAAAAGCAAAAGGCAGGGCAGGGTGGCACCTTAGAGATTAACTTGTTCAGAAAAGCATAAGCATTCATAGGAAACAGCCTATTTTGTTAGGTTCTATGAATGGCAGTTTTGCTTTATATTTAAAGTAGGATACTTTGGCTCAAATTCTAAATTGAGACTGCCCCATATCATGAAGGGTGAGCTTTTTAAAAGTGGGAGTAGGCACGTAGTAGTCTTTTGAAAATTGCCTGTCCTCATCTAAATACCTTTGAAAAATGTGGGCCTTGGTACCTCAGGTCCTCTAATAGCAAACAGACAACAATGTCTGTTTGCTTCATTTATTTATCTTGTAAAATCTTCCTGTCTGGGCCATCCATGACTGTGTCTGTATGTGCAGAACTTAACAGAGCAAAGTCTGGGTTTTGATTGCAGCTCAAAGCTGCTACAGGATTATAAATGACAGCTGTCCCTATTCTACACTAATAGGTAACTATATAACTGTGTCCACACAACATCATCAGTGGTGTGACCGACAGTGTCATCTAGACATCTCTGAGCTGACTTTCCACTAGCTAGTAGGGCTGGGTGGCAACTTAGAGACTTGAGATACTGTGAACCAATGAATGTTAAGTCTTGCCACAGTTGCACAGAGCTCAGCACAGGATATAAAAGCCCACCTGAGAACCTAGGCAAATATTAGGGCAGTTAGTCCTCTCTGAGCTGTCTGCTGTCACTGCTACACTCTTCTTATTATCTGAGTTAGGTAGGTTAAAGTTAACCCAGGTATGTCCACATATGCTGCAGTCATACTTGTAGCTGCAGGCAAACCATACTCGAAGAGTAGTTTTACCATGTTCTCATAGATATGTTGCCATATAGAGAGTACCTATTTCCTTTAGATGCTGAATTTATTGAATTTTCTGACCCATCCAGCCATTTAGAACATATTTACATAAAATTACTGTATTACTTGGCTATCGCATAGTCCTTTAAATCAGAAGATCATCCAGCACTTTATGCAGGAGATGTGTATTGTCCCTTTTACAGAGATGAGGAAATGGAGGTATAAACAGGTGAAGTGACTTGCCCAAGGTCCCCCAGCACTCAGTGGCAGAGCCAGGACCAGAACCCAGGTCTCCCGAATTCCACTGTAGTATTTGACCCAGTGGGCTTATATATTGCTTCTCTATTTAAAGAGTTATTGTGTGGGGTGGCTTTCCCCACCACCACTTTCATTGATTCTTGTGGCATAATCATCATGAGTGTGAAGCTGCCTTTTATTCTGCATGCCAAGCTTATGGGAAATTAAAAGCATCCAGAAATATTTTTTTAGGAATGATATGGTATAATGCAATGCTGACAGCATGGACATGTGATGTGATGACATGACATCAAGATGTTACCATAGTGTGGTGCAAGCTCTTTTCCTTCCTAGAGGATTTCAGGTAAAAGATGACTCACCGTAAGTTGCTCTTTCAATGTGACCGACTGTCTTGAGGTCACAGGGAGACTGCCATGTATGTCTCTGTGTCATATTTTCTGTCTCCTTGGGAATTTTCAGAAGCTAGCTATCGTAAATGGGGAAAGCAGCTGGAGTATCTTTATTACTGTGTCAATCACCAGCATCTGATCCTATGGGCCCACAGATACAGCTTCATTATTAGTGAGATGACTCGTTATTGAGACAATAGAACACAATGATCCTAAAATAAAAGCAGACCAGAGCATTTTTTCCCCGTGAAGTCCAGTTAGTGAAGAGAGATGGGAGAGCTGAGAATGCCACCTGCTGGTGAAAGAAGGTAAACTTGACTTCATCAACTGCTTCTGAATCGAAATCTATTGCTTTGATGGCTTCTTTTTTGGTCCTTTCTTGGCAAAATGTTCAGACTCAAATATCGCAAACACTGTGAATGTTTGAGTGAAGATCAAACAATTAAATGTGAATCTTGTACTCCTCTAGTTTGCAGGTTATCTGTCTTTCCACCAATCTTTATGATGGCCCAAAGAGCCAAATCGATGCAACCAGGGAGGGAACAAAAAGCAAGAGGAAATTAATTTTGTTTATATAAATCAGGCTATGATCACTGACCAGCAGGGCCGTCAGCTTCCCTATATGCCAAGTCAGTGTGCCTTGGCTGTGCACTGGCTGTACTACTGAATCTCTATGCCAGGGGTCAGCAATCTTTTTGGACTGTGTGCTGAAAACACCTGCAACCTCAACTTCTAAGATATTGGCATGCCGGGGTGGATGGCAGGGGAGCCACAAGGGGCCCAATCCTTGTTGTGGCAACACAGCCCCAGCCCCTTCCCCCACCATCTGCCCTGAGATGCATGTGCCAAGCAAAATGCCTTTGCATGCCACACTCTGGCACCTATGCTGGGGGTTGGTACTCCTGCTCTATGCGTTGCTTTCTCTCTCATTAAAATGGCTAAAAGAGATATTCTTCCATTCTCCCATTGTCTCCTGGTTTACACTGGGGTGTCAAACCTGTGGCACAGGTGTCCCAGGTGGCATGGGTAGCCTCTGTGGGACACACAGTAGATTGGGCAGGGAATATAAGGAAAAAAGCAGAGCAAGGAGCACAAAGCTGGAAGCAGAAAGTAGAGCAGAAGATCAGGCAGGGAAAGGGGATCAGAAGGGCACTTTAGGAAGGTGCTGAGGGTAACTTGTGGCATATCTACCAAAAAGGTTAGCCTCCACTTGTTTAAACAAATAAAGCTCTATAGGGGAGAGGCTGTCTCTTACCGTTTGTATGCATTGTGGTGAACACGATGGGGCCCAGTGGACCTCAGGTGTAGCAATTAGAAACAGCTGATACAAATGACAGTAAAATGTTTGGCCCCAAATACCCTCTAATATGCTTCCAGAATAGCTGAAGACTTCTCTTTCATCACTTTCTAATTGATTTTATGAGATTTTTAATATTGTCATGGCTGCATCATTTCATTTTGTATCCTCAAGGCAAAAATGAGAAGATAGCAGAATATTTCTGGCTGTGGTCTTATTTTATTTTCTTATTTATTTTGGCATATCAATTTTTTTTCTGAATAACAGGCTGGAAAGACTACGATCTGGGATAGTTTAGGAATAGCAAATTCTGGATCTGTGCTGGGAATTGAACAAAGCGCCCCTGGAGGTCCTTTCAGACCATATGATTATGTAATGCTTTCTAAGCTTAGTGATAATTCCCTTGGATCTGGCTCCCTCATGCTAACTTTGCACGAACAAACTATGTTGAATAATATGGAGGTTACTGAGCTGCCATGTGAAAGTAACTTACTTTTGTAGTCTGCAAAATACTTGCCTGACAGCAATGAGCAGCCTTAGAACAGGACTCAGATCTGTTAAGTTTCTGACAATTGCCTTCCATCAGAAGAAAGAGAAACTCCAGAAAGAATTGGACCTTGTTGCATAGTTACATTCAATCAAATTCTTAATGTCTGGGTAATAGGAAAGCATTGGAAGGAGTCTTGGGCTTTTAGATGTGGGCCTGAGCCAGCAGCACATATTCAGTTTCTGACTCTAGCACAGATTCTTCTTATAATTTTCTGGAAAGTGACTTGGGACCAGATTTTCAACGGTATTTTTGGCACCTAACTCAACACCTAACTCATCATAAATATCCTGATTTGGAAAACTTCTGAAAGTTTTTCCAAATTATTAATGTTCTGTATAGATATTTCCAAAACATGTACGCGCGCACACACACACACAATTGTTTTCTGTTTAGAAACTGCTTTTCCCAGGAACAGTTTATTTTATGAATAGAAGAGTTGAAAGAGTAAGCCTAAGAATAATAATTATTATTATTATTCCATAATAATAAACATCTTGAAAACTATCAGAAGATGCTCTGTTTTTTTTTTTTTCCAAATTAATTGGCTCAACCAAATTTTGAAATATTTTATTTTGTCTTAGTCTTCAAAATCTGAAACTCTCACTTTGGGGGAAGAAATATATTTGCCTCCCAGATCTAGTGATGACAGAAGCATTGTGAGAGAGAGTAGCTTCAGGTCCCTCAGTCTCTGCTGATACACACAAACTGTTACCTACCAAAAGTGAGAACTTTAGTCAATAGAATAAGAGAGTTTTGGAGAGGTTTTTTTTGTTTCTCACTTATCTCCACAAGCAGTACTAGGAGAAGCTTAGAAGAGGGCATTCCCTGGTGTCTTTGCATACCAGATGAGTAATGTTTTCCTTCTGAAAAGAAGCCCTGAATAGGAGCAAGAGAGAGAATAAAGGTACAGACAGAAATGCAGGTCCTGGGTCTAACTCATGGTGCTTTATAGAAAGCACCATGAGTTAAACCAATCCTCCTGACCCAATAACCATTAGCTATTGGGAGAGTTGGAAATCGAGCTTGATTGGGAGGGTTGGAGATCGAGTTCCAATTTGGAGCCAAT